AATCTTCTAGAAAACCAAACCAAGACTCACTTTTAAAGTCTCTTTCCCACCTCCTTGGGCAAAACACACAATGGGGATCTTGCCACCGTAGTTGGAATCTGCAGGATAGAAAACATTAAAACTTAATTTGGGCTCATCAGAAATACTCACCTACCTCAAAGAAGTGGGGGACCAGCAGTGCCTGCCCCATGGGCCCAGGATGTGGGCTGATGGCTGCAGATCTCACAGACTTGACTACCTACCAGCTCATCACAATGGATGCATCTCTGTTCCCTAAACCAGTAACAGCATCACACAGGTCATGCTGCAATTTGCTAAAGTCTGTCAATGACTTACTTTGGCTGATATACATGAAGGCCAGGTTCAAGTTAGTCCCTACAATAATTATACTTTCACTCAATTGCACAATCTTATACTTTCTTGAGAGGGTGGAAAAATTGCATAACTATGTGTTTCACTCAATTGCCACATTCTCCCCTTGAAACCAATGTTTTTGGTGGTTCTAATATATACAAGTAGCCAGTATTCAAGAAGTAAACCATCCAACTGTTAAGCTAGTGGGTGGTTTTTATCATTTATGCTCTAGCTAATTGCATTGCTTTATCAGCACAAATTTGCCACAGTGGATTTTACGTGCCCTTAAATGTTGCATGCAGAACAGACAGCAGGTCACTACACTGACAAACCAGGGTGGGACGAGGTGGCCTTGTCAACGTTCTACACGTTGAAGGGTACACATCACCATAACCTTGGCAGAAGCATTTCTAGTGCATTAAAGAAGAGAAACAGCAGCTCTTCCTTAGCAGACGGACACCTAGTCAGGTGGGTTCACCAGGCTTCACTCAGTAATTAGGAGTCACGGCTGGTGCTGCTGCTCCTCTTGTTAGCGACATTTGTCGACATCCCACCTCCTAAATACCGACCCTGAATAGTGCGCTCGGAGATGTACTTCTCCAGCTGATTCCGGAGCTTTGCCTCAACTGTGGGATGCCCGTGACAGCCGCTGTCCACAAGCAGCAGATGGGTGTGATTGTTGTCCAGGATGTATAGAGGGTCTCTCTTGAAGTCATCCATGATGTACTGAGCTGAAAAATATCCCTGAAAAGCACAGAGAAACTTGTCTTAGATTTATCTGTTGGCCAAAATGCATGATGACATTTTTATATGTTCATATGAAGGCTAACCCTTTGGGTTCGACTACACTGATGCCCCCTCCCAGAATCCTAAGTGCAGAAGGGTCTTAGAGATCTCACAGTGCAGGCCATCATTTTAAATACGAAGAAATGAAGGTTTGATGTGGTTGGGTCACTTGCCTACTGTCACATAAATGACGGGTGGCAATGTGAGAATCAGATTCCCAATCTAGTTTTTATTCCATCACCCTGTGCTCCTTCGGATAAACTCACTGGAACGGACATCATTCAGGAAAGCGTGTGTGTTTCCAGACACACACACACACATCCGCGTATTTGTCGGGGATGTATCATATGACAAGACCTAGGCCAGGGTCTAGGGATTAGAAAATGAATAGGATACTTTGTCCCAACGCTTAATGCCAGAGAAATAAAAACTGCTGTGGGCGTATAAAGAAAGAAGTTCCTGGCCCTCATTTAGTTGTTAAAGTATCAGGGTTGCCCATGAAGGTGCTTCAACCCAAACTCCAAGAACACAGGTTGAGTTGAAAACTCAATGGGAAGAGGAAGGTTATTGACTCTATTAACAACACCTTTACAGCCAGAACAAAGGTAGACTGAAAAGTAAAATTCAAATGTTACAGTTCGTTAAGTGGCCCTTGCCCAGTCAGGAGCTCCAATCAGGAGAGTCCTGAATATGACAGATGAGATCATATTTGCGAGACAGGCAGCCAGGCATTTAACAGAAGAGGAATACAAAACCCGTGGATAAGGAGCCCTACCACATTCATTGTACTCCGCCATTTATAAAGGGACTTGAGCATCCTCGGATCCTGGTAACTGCAGGGTAGAAGCTCCCATGCACTCTGCTCAATTTTATCCCATAACAATACAAGGAGATTGCAATAAAAACTCAGAGAAGGGCCCTTGCTCAAGGCTGTGCATCTAGGAGAGGTTGGTGATGCACAGACTTCCCTGCTCGCAGAGCCCCTCCTTCCCCCAGCCCACCCGCCGCCTCCTGGGAGAGGCTCAGCAAACACCTTCCCACTTCCCACTGCCTCTCGCAAACTCCAAAATGGTTACAGACACAGAAGTCAGATAATTTTTAGAAATAAGAAGAACCATAGCAATTTCCCAAATCCTGAAGATTCACTGCCTAAACTTCTGAGGCATCCCAGGTGGAAGAAGGTGTAGATTAAATCGGGATTTCTCATCGCCTGGCTCAAAGCTGCTGGGTATAGAAGACCAGTTGGTTATGTGGTCCTCCACTCACTAGAAATGCTGTTTTCAAAACTGCACACTTGATACAAAACCTCATACGTCTACCTTGCCTTTTGAACATGAAATACACATTTGATTACTCTCTAAACATGCTCACAGGAAATCGTGGAGGAGGGGGCATCTCACAGCCCTCTTAATGCCAAATTAACCAGGGGCCACAGAAGTCACTTCAGTTCCTGTGAGTGTGGCCAAGCAAGAAGGTAACCGTGGTCTGGGCTTGAGCCCTCTTGGTGTGGATTCAGGTCATGGTTATAAAGAATCAAGAACCTGACTCTACCACAATTTCCTGGGAACAACTTCGAATGAACAAAGCACATCCATCGGTAACGCCTTTCCAGGAGTTCTTTGATTATGTCATCCTTGTTTTTAATTCCTGAGGCTCCAAAGGTGCTCCTTGTAAGGCCAACTCCCCTACGAGCTGCCTCCACCCCAGAGCCCCGTGCCATGCTCTTTCACCCCTGTGACCTTGCAGACCTCCTCGCGTCCCGCTGGTACCTCGACATCACAGTTCCTGATGAGGGCATCCCTGTTGGAGACCATGCCCCAGGCCACTATGCCGATGGCCACGACGTTCTCCTCGGAACTCCTGCTGATGGTGTTGTCTCTCACCACCTCCCCGATATACTTCATCAGGCCATAGTGCGTGCCTCCGGTGAGAATCCAAGCACCTGCCAACAAGAGAGGAATACAAGGCTCCGTGGCTCTGAGTCGGCTTCCCGTCCTGTGCTCACAGCGCCCTAAAAAAGCTCCCCCCATGAGCACCAGGACGCAGCACTGCAGCCACACTTTGGAACAGGCCTGACCTACGACCACATGGAAAGGAAGGAGGGACGGATCTCAGCGTTTCCAAGAGATGCTGGTTTAAAAAAAAACCCACAAATTCTAGACTTTCCAAGAGATGCTGGTTTAAAAAAAACCCACAAATTCTAGACTCCACTCTAGATCCACGTCATCAGACTCTCTGGGAGGTGGGCAGGGCTGTGTCTTTACCTAGCCTCTTTTTATGGATAATAATTGCCTGGTTTGAGTCTTTGAGCAAGTTAGGCAGTGCCACCATGCTCAGCGGAGTGCTCTGCTCTCACGCTACTCCCCCCACTTCCAGGGATCTGAGTGGTCTTCCTGGCATGACCCTAATGCCTACAACTTAACTTTACAGTTACACAATTTTGCACAGTGGTATTTCAAAGTTTATATCTGATGATTTTCACCATGTCAAGGATTTTGCACATTTTCCTTTTCGCTTTCAAAATTGAAGTAAAATACCTAGAAAATATTGTTTCACATAATAATAGAATCTAAAGTTGGAAATGCCCTTAGTCTAATATGCTACCCATACGAGAATCCAGCCGGAGGCTTGGTCCCCAGCCTCTCTTGACTAGCTCTGGTAACAGAAGCCTCAGGGGTCCTGAGGCAGCCCTGTCCCCCAAACTTCGAAAGTCCTTTTGTTCACTTGTCTCCACTCTCTGATTTACTGCTGTCTTTGCCAAAAGGAACTAGTTGAGCCATCTCCCACATGAAAGTCCTTCCAATGGTTTAAGGCAAATGTGATGTGGTCCCTAGAAGTTTCAGACCCAATCCCTTTGGCCAATTCTCACAGAATGTGAGTCCCAGACCCCACACCCAGGCCCCTTTCTCTGGACAGATTTCAGCTGTCAACATCCCCCTTTCAGATGAAATGACAGAAGTAAAATAGCACTCCACGGGGCCAGCGCAGCACACATGAGACAATTAACCATTAACCTCCCAGCTCTGGCCCCTCATTTCATCTAAGATGTCCCAGCTAGGGGGTTTTTGTCTGCTTCGTTCTACTATATCCCCAGCACCTAAAACAATTTCCTACACACAGCAGGCATTTAATAAGTATGTGTTAAATGAATGAATGATGTGTGCACAGATTTAGTAGTAAGGAAGCTGAGTTGCTAGGCTTCATAACAAAGTAATTACCTACCAGGGTCCCTTCTGGTTGGTCAGGAAATTAAGAATAAATGGGGGGTAGGGGGACACAATTTCTTCTTGACATTAAGGAAAAACATACCTAAAATAAGACATGCTACCTTAGTTCTGTCAACTAATATTCTTAATTAAGAAGTTTTTAAAATGTTAGCCTTAGATAAACTGATACAAATAAATGTTAGGCTTTGATAAATGGAATCTAATCTTGAGGAAACATCTGTCAAACTCAAATGGAAGGAAGTCTACAAAAACAACTTGCCTATCCTCTTCAAAAATGCCCTGAAAGACTGAGAAAGGCTACATATAGATCAGTTCAAGATGAAAGAAAAGTGTTTTGGTTTTCTACGATATGAAAAGCTGAATGGGAAGAACATCGTTGAGATAATTAGCAAAATTAAAATGTAGACTCTCAGATAACAGAATCGGTCAGTGTTAACTTTCTCAGTTTTGAAAGTTGTACTGGGTTATGTGACAGAACATTCCTGTTCTTCAGAGATGCACGATGACATACTGAAGGGTAAGGATTATGATACCCAAAATTTACTCTCAAATGATTTTTTAATCATGACATCTGGATAGTTAGAGAGATAAGACAAACATGGAAGAATGCTAACAACTGATGAATCTAAATGAAGGGTGTACAGATAGATATTCATTGTATTATTCTTCCAATTTTTCCGTAGGTTTGAAATTTTTCCTAATAAAAAGTTAGAAAGAAAAAATAAGCTGACTATTTCAAATAAAGCCACGGTGATTTGTTTTGATCTCCATCAGACAGTCACGTGGTGCTCACAACCTGCCAGGCACTGTCACTATTTCCCAAGCGCACCACTGATCTCAAAACCAAAGAGCACACGTTAAACTTGCTTTTCTGATTGGCCAGGAATACTCTGGGGGAAAGCATCTATGTAAAAATAACGAAATGAAAATCTTAGAAGATTAAAAGAAACATAAAGTTACCCACAAGGAAGCATCTTAAAGTCGATTCTAAAGGGGCTACTGTGGGAACCACCCTCACCGCACCCCTCCCCCCATCCCTCCATCTGCCAGGGCTCCCTGTCTGTCCCTCCACTTGAGGATCTTGTTTTGAAACAATGATTAAGCACACAGTTTCAGAGCTTCTGGATTCCGCGCAGGAACCGCACGGAGAACGGCATTCGGTCCGGGAGACGCTGCGCAGCCGCCGTGGCCCAGCCCGCGGCGCAGGGACCGCCCGGCGCCGCCCGCCCTCCCGGCGCCGCGCGCACCTTTCGACTGCGCGATGTAGATCAGGCGGCTGAAGATCTTGCGCATGCGCGGCTTCAGGGCGAAGTTCTTGGCGCCGCCGGTCACGGAAATGACCAGGTTGGGCGTTTTCAGGTGCCAGTGCTGGGTCAGCAGCTCGTAGAGGGTCTCCGCGTCCGTGTCGCAGGACAGTCGGATATACTGCGGGGAATGAAAACTCGAGTGAGAACCTGGACCCCAAATCATTCCTCCAGGGGATGCTCCCGAGCGGAAGCGTCAGGATTCGCACGTGTTCGCCTGAGCGCCGGCCTCGGCTCAGCCCAGCAAACCGGCTCCTCCGGGAGGGGAGAGGGAGCCAGGCAAGGTGGCCCATCCTGGGGCAGAGGCCTTGGGAAGAGACAGAGTGAATGGAGCTGCGTCACCTTCCAGGCAGCCGCAGGGCTTAGGGATGTGAGGATTCAAGGCTCAGCTCCCAGCCGCCTCTGGGTGGTTATGTCCCTGGGACGGAGGGCACAGGAGGATTTAAGGAGACACCATTAACAATCATTGACCATCTTTGTAAAATCCTGCCTAAGAGCCTGCAGTGTGGGTGTGTAGAGGGCAATGTCACCTTATTCAAGGCCACATTGATTCTCAGGAATGTCATATGCCAAAGTGAATCACACGAGTCACAAAAGCGTCTGTGGGGCCTTTTGTGACAGTGAGGGTCAACATGGATGTTACGTGCGGCTGGAGAAAGGACGCTGGGTGACAAGCCAGAAGTCACCCATTGAGCTTTGCTGTTGCACATAATCGCACCTGGATTAGCCAGTTAAAGCAGAAAACTATGGCTTACCTTCCCTTTCTTCCCCAGAGTCTCAAACTGAATGTCCCCAAAGGCATCAGTGGGAAATTCCTTGGTGTGTTTTTTGTAATTCCATTTCTCACTTTGGTTGATCTGGGTGCCTTCGATGTGCTGGCTCTGGGCATAGCCACACTTGCACACGTTTTCCCTGAGCGGAATGATGTTGACAGGAAGGAACAGATTTCATTAAACTTACCCAAAGATTTCATCACATTTCTTAAAATAAACCACACAGCTTAAATAAACACAAAGAGATTTCACCGTCACATCTGATTTTCAGCCTATTTTCATCATCTCGGTTGTTTAAAAACTGTCTTAGTGTTGTATCCCTGTGATGTGGACCATCCAGGCGATACAACTGTATCGCTTCTGAGAAAGAAGAAAGCCGGATGCAGGGAGCAGGGGGCACAAAGACAGAGAAGACTTCTTTAGTCTCCACATGTTCCAGCAACGGTCCTGACCATTCTACACTCCCAGCCACTTCTCTCTCTTAGTGTCTGCATGGCATTTCTGTTTCCTTAGTGTAAATCGTCCCCCTACTTCCCATTTAGGTTAAGCTAATTTGGGTTCCTTGTAACTGAAAGTCTTAATTACTAGAGTAAGGAAATTATCTGTATTCAAACTACATGTCAAAACATTCAATATTTTCTAGAGCTATAAAAATTGAGCAAGAACCTGTATCCAAAATCATTCCTCCAGCAGCAATCTTGTCTCCTTTTTGGGACAGTTTCCTGGGGCATCACTCAGTTTGGCCAAGGAAAAAAAGTCCACCAGAAAATTGATCACAATTTCTTCAATCCTTTCTCTTACGAAGCCTGGAGGCACTTCCTGAGCTGAAACTGTTCCTGATGGTCTTGGGGTCACCCCCACTAGGGTCCAAGTTGGCTTCCTCCCCTCTCTCTTTAGCTGTTATCATCCCACTATCCTTTGGGGTCTGTCCACACCCACCCAAGCTCATTGCAAGACTAGGGAGGGAAGTCCTTGTTCTGCCTGTCCTTGCTATAACTGACGACTGACTCAAGCCCTTTTTCCTTCCAAGGGTAGGCCTGTGTCTCAGGTGACCTTGACTGAGACACTTCTTCGACTCCATCTTGGTGGTCTTTGGGCTGGTAGCCCTCCAAGCAGCAATTTGCATGACTTGGTTAACAAATGGTGAAGAGGCCAGGAAGTATGCCGGGAAGGCATTAGGAGCACAGATACATGGAAGAGGCATAGGTGTAACAGAAAGGAGAGATGGCGAGGACAGGAGAGCATCAGGACGCAAGTTCAGATCCTATAGCGCCACACTGTCAAGATAGCAGCCACTAGCTACAGGTAGCTATTTAATTTAATTTAAAAATTCAGTTCCTTGGTTGTGCTAGCCACATTTCAAATGCCCACTGGACACAAGTGGGCAGTGACTGGTTTTTCTTGCATCCATTTCTCCTTCTGCCAGGAGGAACGCCCTGATTCCCCTTTCAGGAATCATGCCTTTCCACCCTAGGTCCATGTGGACACAACGCTCAAGGTCACGTATCCCATCGCCCAGTCCCAGGGATTAGAACCAGTGCTTGGCCCAGGCCAGGCCAGTAAGAGCCATGAACGTGGGCCCAGGACTTTGGGAGAAATTGCTAAGAACAAGGCCCTCTCTCCACTCACTGGGAAGCTGAAAAGGTTGTGGTGTCCAAGGCAGTGTTGTTCTTAGAAGAGTTGGGAGCTGGGAATAAAAAGAATGCACAACTAGAAACAAAAAATCTGGGTTCAACTCATCGAGCTCCTGCCAGTCACGGACCCTGGATAAAATCCTGAGCCCCTCCAGGCCCCACTTCGCCTTGTCAGTCACAGGGCACTAACAGCTATCTCGCAGTGTTCATAGAATGAAGCATCAAGCGCAGAAAGTCTCCCTGACACAGTCATTAGCCAGTAAATATCTGTTGAATAAATGAATGAATGAATCCAAACTGTGTTTCCTGCTAACCAAACAGATTAACAGCAGAATCTTTCAGTGACACGTGGGGAATGCGTAGCGGATTCACAGAGTTTATACTGTGTCAAGATGCCTCGTAATGACTTAAGTTTATACCAAAGACAAAACAGAGCTCTCTTAGCTTTTCCCATGTTCATTTTCCAACTGTACAAAGTAAGAAAACACATTTTTTGAGAACCAGCCACATGCTGAGGCTCTCTAATGGGAATTTTCTGTCTTACCCCCTGAATTCTTACCACAACTCAGGATATATACTTTGCTAGAGTTTTAGGATAAGAGGATTGGGTTCAGTAAAGAGAGTAACTGGCTCGAGGTCATGCAGTGAGCAGGCAGCCAGGCCAAGGCTGGATCCAAGGCTGATTCTAACGTGCCCGCTCTTGCTCTGTGCCCGCTCTTGCTCTCGCCTCCTTTGTCTGTTCACGGTCTCTGTTGAACAGAGTCAGTGCTATAAACTACAGCAGCAACTATCCAATCAGTTAATAGCCAGCCTGTCTCCTATCCCCAGCAGGCAAAAGAGGCGGGGGCAGAGAGGGGCGAGACGGGAGGGAGGGAAAGCTAAAATCGCTTCATTTGACGCGGCGCACGTTCCAGAAGAGCAGTGGTCAATCCTCTCACTCACTGGCCCAGCAGGTAGCACTCGCTGAGGACTGCCCGCGGGCAGAGCTGCTGGGGGCTGCCCCCCAGGGCTTTTGTGACTCAGCCTTGATGTTTCAAAACACACGAGACTCCGAGTAGATGAAATCCAGATTCGATGGGATGGACCACAGTCAAACTGCCTCGTGTGCGCGGGCTGGGTGTCACCTGCCAAGCTCTATGAAACAGGAAGCTACGCTGCCATGGGCTCCCGGGCGCGCGGAAATACTGAAGAGAGTGACAACCTCTTTTGGAGTCTTTACCAACTACCGCCAAAGCTAAAAATACGGAATGAAACGAGACCTCTCTAGGGACGAGCTGCTTGCCAAATCCTTCCTGTTCACACACCATTTCTGAGAATTGCAAGATGAAAACAACTTTAATAATGAACTAGTGAGCATTTGTTTGTTGGCTGTCATGGCGATCAATAATTTTATTTTTGAACATGGTAACAAAAACGGAGGCAGAATCGTTGCTTACGTGGCCTTGGAATCTTTGGTAAAGAAGACACATTCCCGTTTCTTAAAATTTGCTTGAATAAAATTCACCAAGTCCTTTGGAGAAAGAACATTGGAATAATGCATCACTAATACGTTCTCACCCCCTGCCGCTCTTAATGAATATAAATGTGACCTACACCTATTTCAAAGGTTTTAAGAATTCACCACCTACCCGCAGCATCCAGCATGCATTCACGCTTTCAGAGCACACAGACTTTGTAAAAAGAGGCATACACTTAAATTTTTATAACTAAATGCAAATTTTTCTAAAAGTTACTTGGCGTCATCTTATAACAAATGGCATTATACACATACAAAGTATGTTTTTCCGACTGTAAGGCTGCTGGGGGAATGTAAGCGTTTGCTGATAGCTTTGCATCAATAATGTATTATTGCAAATTCCCATTCTTCTTATGCTTGCTTTTCAAAAGAGGATGGATTCCAAGCACTCCTTAGAGAATCACATCTGTTCCCCCCATGGGCGTATCCAGGACCTAATTCTGACAAAACCACAAGCTTCCCTTTAGTTGGCAGAAGCAAACTATTTGGGAATCGTTGGAAAAAACTTCAAAAATATCTACAGTCCTCAAAGAGGGGGAAGATATTTGCAACCTATATGAAGCATCATAAGGTTGGTAAATAGAACATGTAAAGGTCTATAAATCATTAAGAATAAGACAGACAACCCAGTGGGGAAATGGCAGAAGATAGGAGCAGGCATTGAATAAAAGAGGGCACACAAATAGCCCATAAATACGTGGAAAGAAGCTCAGCCTCATTAGTAATGAGGCAAATGGGAAGTGAAATCACAAGGACATCCCATTACACACCCACTAGGCTGGAAAAATTAAGGCGGCATTGACACCAAATGCCGCTCGGGGCGGTGAGGAGATTGGCCCAACCCCTCTGGGAAACAGACCATCACTGCCAGTAGTTACACCCCTAGAAACAGTCCCCTGTGTCCCATGAATGACCTGCAAGCTCAGATGCCTGGCACTGGGCGGGCAGCTTCAGGTGGCTGTCTTGTCCCTTGGAGGTGGGGCTGGCACCCACCTTCTGATGTCCTGAGACATCAGAGAATGGGGACCACGTGCCCCCTCTTACTGGCCTTTTGAACGAATTTTCCCTATAAATCCTGTGTCTTAAACCCAGTCCCGGCAAGGGAGAGGTGCTTGCTGTCACCCACCAGCCTTAACCTAAAGAACGCTCTTCAGGGGGCCCGGCTCACACATCTGAGAAGGTTCAGGGTGGCCCTGCTCCTAAAAGCAAAACCCCAAATCCAAATGTTCACTCCTCTTAGGCTGGAAAAACGTGCACGTGATGGAGTGCAGCATGTCAGCAAGTCAATCAACAGCCACTGAGGCCGCCCATTGTGGAGGGATCACCAACACAGGATGGTGAGCAAAGCAGGAATTCACAGAAGACTACTTCTTGTGTAATTCTGCATATATCCAAACAGACAAATCGAACCACATATTGTTTTGGACATATATTCAAATCATAAACTTATAAATGAAAGTAAGGAATGGGGAACACAAAATTCAGGAGAGCGGTCCCCTTTGACACGGAGGGCACGCGGGGACTCCTGCAGTGCTGGTGGTGGGTACGAGACTGTTCATTTTAGTTGCCATGGGGAAAGGGGATGGGAAAGGATAAATTGGGAGTTCGAGATCTGCAGATACTGACTACTATGTATAAAATAGATAAACAAGAAATTTCTTCTGTAGAGCACAGGGAACTATGCTCAGTATTTTATAGTAACTAGAATGAAAAAAATCATGAAAAAGAATATGTGCATGTATATATGTATGACTAAAGCATTATGCTGTACACCAGAAATTGACACAACATTGTAAACTAAATATACTTCAATTTTTTAAAAATTTGATGTAAACCAATAAATAAATAAATAAAAGCTATTATCTTGGGGGAATAAAGTGTTCATTTTATGATTCCTCCTTAAGCTGGGAATTCACATTTGTACATTCTTTTCTACTGACAATAAAAATGTGGAAAGCAAAAGTAACTTCTACACTCATCTAAATGCAAAAATTTTGAAAACCTGTGATGCCCTTTCTTCCTCGTAAAATTTTCTACTCACTTCACTAATTTTACGTCCACTTAACAAAGATGATGAAAACTCAACAGATGTATAAGCTGTGAAATCAATGATCATGGAGGAGGGGTGGTGAGAAAAACTGCCTTGTTGCTAAAAGTTCCTTCTTAAAATGCACTTTGCAGAAGCGTATGTTCTTAGGGGCAAATAGGACCCCCAGAACTGGGATGTACTTGGTGGTCTCAGAAGTTCTACCCAAATTCCATCTCTGAGCGAAGCAGGAAATCCATCCAGAAGTCCCGAGGAGCAGGGCAAGAGAGTCAGCCTTTGCCTCCCAGAGGCACCAATGCCTGCATCCAAGTGTGATCTGGAAAGGCGTTTTCTGCCCACCCCCCAGAGCTCTCTCACTGTGGAGGCTGGAGGAGGGGGGCGTTGGAAAGCCCACCAGCATCCTTTACCCACTGTGTAATTCTCAGGGGCCAGGGCCAAGGTCACAGCAGGTGGAAAAGCTAGGAAGGCACTGGGTGTTGGGCGTGGCAAGTTCAGGAGCGGCCCCCGAGATCAAAACACTGACATGGCCAGCACCCCAGAAGGCGCCTCCCAGCCCCTCCTCCTTCCTTTTTCCGAAGCTAGCCACTAGCCTGATTTTTGACACTCTAGTCGAGGGGAGCCCTGGTGTCAGACTGGCACATTGTCTTTGTTTCCTGACAAACAAGAGTATTCACTAGGACCTGTGAGTGAGCAGAAAGCCTGCTGGGCCTGCTCAAGGTGCGGGGAGGACAGGGGTGGGAGGGGCAGCACAAAGAGGGGGGCCTTCTGCCGGCACCCTCACCCCCAGTAGGGACTGGGTGTGACTCTACATCCTGAAAGCAGCACGGACACGGGCTTGGAACGAGGAGGGACAGGTGCCAAGGAGAATAGTTTGAAGCCATGACAAGAACAAATGCAGACCCAGAAGGAGCCTCCGGCCACAAGGGTGAAGAAAAAGACTGGGATTCAAGGAGCGCTTCCAAAGTGAACCCACGGGGCTGGAAGCAAGAACACCAAGCGTTAAATACAAATATTAAAAGTGTGGGATTGAAGATTTCATAAAGTCAGCGAACGAGCACGTTCTTTCACAACCTAAGGCAACAGTCACAATCTTTAAATTAGGAACGCTTGGAAAAGGAAGCAGAAGGGAAATGCCTCTACATTTGACAAAAATAATCCACAGAAAAAAATACTGTACAATGAGATATGATCTTTTTGAAGAAGGAGTATTGGTCCCCAGATCATCCTAACTGCAAAGTGATGCTTTCTGACGTAACAAGGGCGTTGGTGGGGACCGCCCTCGACTCACGCTCTCGCTGTAGGACACATCTGTGCTCCGAGACGCACTGGAGTACAGGGTCCGGGTGCTGCCCAGCGTGCAGTTCCTTCTGCTCCTCATGCTGAGCCGCGTGCCCTGGAGGGACATCTGTTCTCCTGTGGAGAAAGGGGGGGTGGGTAAGTCTGGGTCACAAACAGCGCAAGGGCGCGGTTGCAAGCTTTACCAAGATGCCCTCCCCTCCTGCCTCTCCTCGCAGCGTCTGCGGTGCCCCCCACCAGCCGATGGTACCCCTGCCTCTGCTCTTCTTGCTTCTTTCCTCCTGGTCCTCCCGGACTCAGCTTGAGTCCAGTTCTTCTGCACACCTTCCCTGTCCCCTCACGCCTGGGCAGAGACTCCCTGGGTGTCCCCCTCCTCTGCAAGGTGGAATCACGCATCACAGACCGCCACGCATCGGGGTGCGAGAGAGCCCCTTCCAAGTTAGCGGGTTTGGAGCGAAGGGAACTTACAGAACTGGGGCTTGCATCCGCTGGAGGACGTGGTGGGTGGCGGTGGCCATGGCGAGGAGGATTGCCCTGACCCAGTCAAGTGAGGTGGGAGAAGGGCCCTGACCGACGGTGACAGCAGGGCCTGAGGGCCAGTGTGCCCTGGCTGACCCTGAGACTTGGAGCCAGCACATGGGTCCCAGGGACACCCGGCAGTTCCCTCCCAGGCTGGGGAGCAGGCCGTTAGCCCCGGCGTCAGGGAAGCCTCAGGCGCCATGGAGACGCATCCTAGGCTGCCCCCGACCCCGTTCTTCCATGCTCAGACCCGCCCCTCCGAGCAGCAGGCGCTCTCCGTGCCTCTCTGTTTCCCAGACAGCAACTCAGACCCTTCCCCACCAGGAGAGCCTCCACATCCCCATGCTGTTCAGCAGACACAGCAGACACGACATCCCGTGTCCCTGTGTCTCTTCCCGGGACGGAGCTCCCGCAGCTGCCTGTGACCTCCCCCCATTCCTCGCCTCCGTCATCACCACCTCCAAGTGACAACCCCACCCCCTTCGCCCTCTCCAGCCCCTCCCCTGGCCCACAGTTGGGGCCCCGCTCGCCTCCTCAGCCTGACAGCACCCACCTCCCTCTCTTTCAGGACCAGGCCCCTCACTGGGCCGCGCCTTTCCCATCTGGGCCCCACTCTCGGTCTGGAACCCTCTTCCCCAAACCTCCCCCGTCTGGGTCGCCTCCTGCTCATCCTCTCGACCTCGGCTTCCACACCCTTTCTTCAGTGAGGTGCCCAGTGTTGCCCAGGCTAGCGCAGGCGCCCTGTTCTGGAAGCACCTTCTATTCCCCACCAAGCTGTGAGCACCCCGACTTGTTTCATGATCTGTTTGGCCTCGTCCATCTGCTTAAGTCAAAAACCAGATCTCTCTGTTCGGCACTGTATTCCCTGAGCCTGGCACAGTGCACGGAGCAGAAATGTACCAGCATTGACTGAGTGAATAATTTAAGTGATCGCCTCACACTCCCTCCCATCCTCCGAATCCTCCTTCGGCTTGCGCATTACTGGCCCCACACCCTGCCTTCCACGCCCCTTGCACGTGGGAAGGCCTGAGACCCACGGCCCAGCCACACAGCTCCCCATCCCTCCGCCCTGCTCCTGCTCCACCGTGTCCAGATCGGATCGCCTGTCCGGGCCTCAAAACCCTCCCACACCGCAGACAGGATGCTTCTCACAGCTCACGGAACCCTGGGGCCAGGCTGTTTAAAATGAGCAGCTCTTCTTTTACTTCTCTCCCCAGGCATCTCACAGAGAGGCTCAGAGTATTAATTGGTACTTTACATACATTATTGTAAAACCGCAAATCAATCCTGCAAGGTATTTACTATGATCCCCCTGCAGCAAATTGCTTCTGAGTAGGGCTCCAACGGCCAGGAAATGATTTTACTTGCTCACAGTGAAAAAAAGCTGCTTATTTCATTGCAAGGGAAAAGTGTATTCGGGCTTTTAAATCATATTTCAGTCAAATAAGAAATAGGAGCGCGTGTAAGGAGTGCAGGAAGTTGCCTGATTCTGACATTTCAAACGCCTTTATTCGGTATTCGTTTCCAACCGCTTTTCTGAGGCCAGTTGATACTCAACTTGACTAATTACGAGGCCAGGCGCCCTTCACACCGCCCGCCATGACAGCTATTCTAGGTGTAGCGCCTCCCAACCTCCTAAACGCATTCAGGAGTTGAGGCTCGGGTGTGGAAGGGGCTTTGGGAGAAGGGCCATCACGCCCAGGACCGAAGGCTTCCAGGCCAGTCTGGAGAGGAGGGGAGGGGGGCCA